GCTCTACACCTTGTTATCTCAGATTCTCCAGCATCTGCAGTTCCTACTATCTCTGATGAATTTCCATCTGGGTATATTTGAGGGACTGTGTTCCCAGTGCTTTTGCGGAATAGTTTTGAAGTCATTTGGATAACGCACTGTTTGGCACACACGTTCCATGTACCTGGTATCACTGTGAGGGGCTTCCATGAGAATGAAGAAAAATAAACTTTTTTCTAACTGGCCAGGGAAAATCAGTAACTGAGAAGAGGAGATGAAAAAATTGGGGAAGACAGGGAGAGTGTTAGATGAGAATGAGGATTTGAGAACACGAGTAAGGATGTCTTGCTGTGATTGTACAGAGCCTTGATAAGACTGCCATTGGAGGGTTGTGTGCAGTTTTAGTCCCCTTATCAGCGGAAGGATGATCTGGCTATAGAGGGAATGCAACAAAGATTTACCAGACTGATTCCTGTGATATCAGGACTGACCAACGAAGAGAGATTGGGTTGGTTAGGATTATATTCACTGCAGTTTAAGGCTTTTTCTTAGGATGGGAGAGCCCAAACCTAGAGGGCATAAGTTTAAGCTGAGAGGGGAAAGATGCTAAAAAGGACCTGAAAGGTAACTTTTTTTCAAGCAGCGGATGGTGCGTGTATGGAATGAGCTTCAGAGGAAGTGATAGAGGCTGGTAAAATTAAGCATTTAAAAGGCATGGATATATGAATAGGAAGGGTTTGGAGGGATATGGGCTGGCAGATGGGACTAGGTCACATTGGGCTGCCTGGCTGGACCAAAGGGTCTGTTTCCATGCTGGATGAATGTATGACTTTATCTAGATTTAATTTTTCTTTAACTCCAATTCACGATGTTCCTTAAGGTATTCTATCTGAATTCATGATTGAAAGTCTGTCTGTCTTTTTATTCCAGGAAATTAAAAAAGAAAATGTTAATGATGAGTTGAAGCCACACTTATTACCAGGTAATTTAAACGTTTCTTCCACAAGATTTGTATTTTAAAAGCCTTGTTTCCTTCTCAAGTGTTGAGGAGAGAAGGTCAGTCAACAGTTTCCACTCTTGATGGTGGTCATTTTTGGAAGAAACACTTCATGTTCAGATTGGGTGAGGGTTATGACCCATCAACTTAAATATTGTGGAAGATCAAGCATTTATAAACAGTTCAAGGTTTGGCCAAATGAATTAGTACCTACAAGAGAAATGAAGACGAAAATGGGATGATAAGGTCACTGAGCATGCTGTCATCTATGAACATAGGCTCAGTGTTCTTTCTGCCATGAGCTGTTGTTACACTGAAAATTGCATTTGCTTTTTAATGTTAAAATTTATTAGTATTTACTGCACCCTAGTGGCAAACAATTTATTTAAGAACATTTAACTGATCAAAACATAAATTTGCTTGAACAAACATTCTTGTACTGCATTTTTCTCTTGACTGCAGCAAACTATTAATGAACAATTGAAACAACTTTGGTTTAACAAAAGAGAAACTGTTAATGTTATTTTGTTAAAGTGACATTATTAAAATGGACAAATTGTATTTTCCAGTTGCAGCTGATATGACTAAACATTTTGCGAGCTTTTTGTTTGCAACAATGGAGTAGTTTCTTCACATCTAATATGGATATCAAATGCAGGAGCTACAATAAAATTACTGAAACCCAATTTCTGGACAATTAATGTGAAAGGTCATCCTTGGCTCAATGGTAGACTGTTGGTTGAGTCAAAGTCACTGGAGGAAAAATTGCTGGAGAAACTCAGTGGGTCTGGCAGCCTCTGTAGAGAGGGGAAATAGACAGTTAACATTTTGAGTTCAGTAACTCGAGTTGTGGGATTAATTTGAGCAGTTACTTGGGCGATAGACTGGGTTTTTTAACTGAGTAACTGCTTACTTGACTGGACCCCTTTTTAAAATTTTGTTGTTTTTTGTGAATGGATTCTTTGAGTGGTAAGGAAGAGGGTCCTGGGATTGAAGAGTTACACAGCATAGTCATAAAGCTGTATAGCATGGAAACAGACCCTTCAGTCAAACTTGTCCATGCTGACCAGATATCCCAAATAAATCTAGTCCCATTTGCCAGCATTTGGTCCATATCCCTCTAAAGCTTTACTATTCATATACCCATCCAGATGCCTTTTAAATTCTGGGATTCAGTTGTTGTTTGACTTCCATTCTTTATGGGGAAATTCCCTGTGAATCTGCTGCATTAGGGATTCCACAATGTAACATTCCATATAGGATTCAAGAACTCTGGGAATTTTTTTTACCTGAAAAGGTGGTGAGAATGTGGAACTCTCCCTACTACAGGGATTGGTTGATGAATGCATTTTGAAGGGAAACCCCTCAATCATATGAAGGAGAAGGAAACGAATGGTTATGATTGTAGGTTTAGAAGGAGAAAGATGAATGGCAAGCTCAGGTGAAGCATAAACACAGTCATGGATTCATTGGGTATCAGCTTGAGTATTGTCTGGTTCTAGGTCCCCTTCTTGTTAAAGGGCTTGGAACATTTCTTTAAAGTGCTGAGGGAATTGATTAGAATGGATGAAGGATTCAGTTATACGAAGGTTGAGAGACGTGATGAACGCAAGTTTGTTTGGCCTTCCATGTTTCAGATGCCAATTATGAATACTTTATTTGATCAGTTCTCCCTTTTCTTCTCTCTCTGCTGTTCACTTCCCTTTCCTGTATGACAGGAGAAATTCTAATCTGCGAGGCAAACACGGTGGTGAAACTCAGTCGAGAAGATTCCTTACAAAGAGGCTTTTATGGAAAGCTCATCTGTACCAATTTCAAAATCTCTTTTTTAAGTGCTGAGCAGTTGTTGGATGAGGTGGTAAGTGTTATTTAAGAACATATATTACTCTTGATAGTGTTTTACTTGAGTGCTGGTGCCAGAGTTAGAAATTTGAAAGGACTATGAACTCTCTCTGCTTCTGGGCAGCACTTGTGTGATTGAGAAAACTGAAAGTAGACTTGCAATGGCAACATGTACAAAAGAGTTATACCAAACATTAAAACCTAGTTGGCAAATTATTGGAGAAAACATTTGGAGGGATAATATACATCTTCTTTTGGAAAGTTACCTTGGAACTAAGGACTGCTGTCATGGATTGACCAAGGTAAACTGTATAGAAAGGGACATGGGTGACATTGTAAATGATATTAACACTGCATAGATGTAGTTTTTTTTTTTTTTTTTTTTTTTTTTGAATGGTTTCATTCTGTGCTGTACATCTCCTTTGCAGAATCAGACGGGTCATGTCTGATAACTTACCCTGTTTCTGACTAGAGCAGATAAGTTATAATGGGATCCAAGAGATGGCACGTCAATTAAATACTTATTTTGGTTCTGCCTCCTCAAAGGAGGGCACAATGTATCAAAAACATTGGGGAATGCAGAGTCTAGTGAAAGGGAAGAACTGAAGGCTATCAATATTAATAGAGAAATAGTGTTGAGGAAACTGATGGGACTAAAAGCTGATGAATCCCCAGACTAGACAGTCTACATCTCCATAGTAGTGAAGGACCTGAGAAGTAATGGATGAATTGGTGGTCAGCTTTCTAAATTCTGTAGATTCTGGAACAGTTCCTGTGGATTGGAGGCTAACAAATGTTCCCACTATTTTGGGGGGAGAAAGCAAGTTCTGAAGAATGATGCTCGTCTTGAAATATTAACTCAGTATCATGCACCACAGATGCTGCCAGACCTGCTGAGTTTCTCTATCACTCTATCTTCAGTTTTAAGTCGAAAACAGAGAGAGAAAAAGGAATTATAAATTGGTTAGCCTGCTGTAAGTAGTGTGGAAAATGCGAGAGTCTATTGTAAAAGATCTAATAGCAGATCTCAAGGGAAACCAGTGATGCAACTGGACAGAATCAGCATGAATTTATGCTTGATCAATCTCCTCCTTGTACCCCACCTATTTACAATAATTTGTGATGATTTAGTTGAGGAAACTAAATATATCGTCTCCACTTTTATAGTCAGCATGAAGCTGGGTGGGAGGGTGAACTGTGAAGAGAATGTAGAGGTGCTTCATTGTGATTTGGCCAGGCTGAGTAAGTGGGCAATTGCATGGCAACTGAAGTATAATGTGGCTAAATATGACGCTATTCACTTTGGTAGCAAAAACGGGAAGACAGATTGTTATCTGAATCACGATAGAGTGGAAAAAGGGGAGTTGTCCTTGTACATTAGTGGCTAAAAGTAAATGTGCAGGTGCAGCAGGTAGTAAAGAGGCAAATAGTATGTTGGTATTCATAGGACAGGATTTAATTACAGAAGTGGGGTATCTTGCTGTAATTGTACAGGGCTCTGGTGAGATCACACCTTGAGTATTGTGTGCAGTTCTGCTCATCTTATCTGAGGAAGGATGTTCTGGCTATGGAGGGAGTACAACAAAGATTTGCCAGACTGAAGGGTTCACTAATTCTTGGGCTGGCAGGACTGATGTATGCAAAGACTGAGTTGGTTAGGATTGTAGTCACTGGAGTTTAGAAGAATGACAGGTGATCTCATAGAAACCTCAAAGTCTAACAGGACTGGATAAGAGCAGGTAGGATGTTCCCAATGTCTGGGAAGTCCAGAACCAGATGTCACAGCTTAAGATATTGGGACATTTAGGACTGAGGTGAGAAATTCCTTCACCCAAAGGGTGTGGAGCTGTGGAATTCTGCCACAAAGCTGTTGGTTCCTGGGGCTAAAGGGATCAAACAATTTGGAGAAAGTGGGAATGATGGATGCTCAGCCACAATTGTATTGAATGGTAGAACGGGCTTAAATGGCTGAATGGCCGACTGCTGCACTTAGTAATACAACTTTTGCTGGTACAAATTCTGTGACATGGCTTAAGCAAACTTTTAAAATCAAAGCAAACGGTGTGCAGACTAATCAGCTTGTTTGAAGTACACATTGTTTGATCACCCAGTAACCATTTCATATCAGCAGTCAGTGGGCTCTTGTTTCTATCCCTGGGCTTGTTTGAGTTCTGGGTTGATTTGTTTTGCTTTCAGGTATGTTTGTCGTGCTTGAGTTTTTAAAGTGTTCAGCTGTAAACTGCTTCATGATTGATTCGAACCTCTTCCCCATGAGAAAAGCCATCATGACTGGCCTGTTGTTTCCTGTTAACACCCGTCCCAGAAAAAAAACTACCACAACTCCTCCTGGATCGTCCATAAATGAGCTTTCCTGAAACCTTTCCAGACTCCAGTGAAGTTTCAAAAATTAATGTGGTGGCTCTTAGAGGCATTTCAGACTTTTATACTTTCGACATTTTTAGGTTGTAGTTTTCTTCACCTTCTTTACGACTTTCCTCGCTCTTGGCAATTTGGAAGGAGCTGGAGCCTTCTGGTCCCTTTTGTCTGAACCACCTTTTTCTCCACCTTCCTCCTGATAATAAACCTGATCTGTTTTTGGAGCACCTCTCTATATTAATCCCACTGTCAGCCAAAGCTTGCTTTATTGCAGCCAGGGATGTTCCCTTGTGGTCATGGCAACTTGCCTCAAGCCAATTGCTGATCCAATGTCTTTGTGAACAATGCAAATACTAACACTCACTGGCCTTATATGTGCAAGTGCTGACCCTCTTGGTCTTTGTAGCAGACACTCCAGTTCTTCACGTTCTGTTCAAGCATCTGATCCATCACTCATCTTTAAGCAATTAAATGTCTTTGCCTTAACTTCTGTAGTTAACCACAGATAATGAAATATTCCCTTAAATGTCTGCCAATGCCAATTGATTTGTTTCCTCACCTAGTATCCCAGTGCACTTCAGCCAGCTCCAATTTTACGTCCACGTAGTTGTCTTTATTTTTAAAATACTAGCCTTAGACCACTCATTTTCCTTTTCAAGGTAGGTGTAAAGTTCAGCTGTTTTGTGGTTGATGCTGTCTAGGGGTGCCTTTACTCTGAGATGATTAATCCTGTCGCAATTTGCAATTCCAATTCCAAGTTTGGTATAACTTGTAGCTGTAACAAATTATTGCAGAGCATTCTGAATGCTTCATGAAGGCACCCGTGCCACTCTGATTTGTATCTGATCAGTTTTTATGTAGATTGAAATTGCTCAAGTATTGGTATTCATTCATTGAGTATGAGTATTGTTTAAAGTTCACCATCTTACAGGAAATACTTAATATAGTAGTACACATGAAATTTAAGTAGATGTCACAGATGTTGCTATAACTAAAGAAGTTTATGTGTAAATAGAATGGATTTGTTCTTTTGGAAATGAGGCAGAGAGATTTTGATAACATTGGGGGTGGGGAAAGGGATCAATAGACTTCAAAAATTTGGTAGCAAGACCAAGATTATTGGGGAGTTGTCATTGTTTTGAGGGTGGTGAGGATTTGAAACTGCATGAAAGAATTGTAAAGCAGAACTTTCATGAACTTTGTTCTACAACCTTCAGCACAATGGACCAAGAGCTGGAAAGTGGCATTCGACAACTGCTGTTTTTCAGCTGGCACAGGCACAGTTAACTGAATGGGTTCCTTCTTTGCTGAAAATATCTATGTTTACTGCAGTTTACTTAATTGGTCTGCAAAGCTTCCACTTCTGGTTCCTGGAAATTGAAGGATTCAGGCCAGAATTAATTTTGGCAACTGACATCAGCAGATGGCTGGAACACAGAAATTGGAGGTTTGACTAGCAGAAGCAGGTGTATCTTGGTGGAATGAGTGAGTGCATAGTTTGACATTGTTCTCGACTTGTTTTGCTTTGTAAACGCATTATAGAAATGAGGAAGAAACTGGTGCCCTCTATTAAATTAATTACCTAAGATAAAATGAGAAACCATCTGAAAATTTTGGCAGAAGACTGTTTTCAACTGTTCTTGATGGATACAATCGAGGTACAATGTGCATTCTTGGAAGTATAATTCCCAGTATCATTTTTTATTAAATTTAATAATGAATAATTGAGAATCATTGAAGTCCTTGGGCAGGCAAGAATGAAGGGTGAACAACTTAGATCTTGTACAGACACTTCAAGTTAATTGAGAATAATAGGTAAATTTATGATGCAATAATATGACTGATTTATTTCCTTTATCAGGTGTGCTAATAATAGATGTTTCAGTTCATTTGTTCAAGTCAGAACTGTTGCTGTATTCAAATTTCAAATGGGCAATACTAATTCTTCAACAACACCTACCAAATTCACAGTTGTCTACAGCTAGAAGAATATATCGGAGTAAGAACGTGTACAGGAATGTATAGGCAGCAGACGAATAGGAACTTCATCTGCACATTCTCCTCCCAATCCTGTGCCATCTTGATTTTGAACCATATTTTTAGTGTTGCAGTGTTAAAATCCTAGAACTCGCTTCTCAACACTCTGCAGTGTTCCTACACCAGCTGAATTATAGTGGTTCACAAAGAAGGCTCACCAGCACCTTCTTGAGTGCAAATGAGGATGGGCAAATAATTCTGGCACTGTCATCCCATGAATGAATAAAATCAAACTACTTTTCAGATCTTGGGCTGTAATAGTAATAAAGAATTTATTTTATGAAACACTTGTAGAATTTACCCAGTGTTGTTAAGATCTACAAGTTAGATTGCTACACTAAAAAAGATGATTTAGGCATTGATTTTTAAATGTGATCAGTTGTCTTTGAATGCTTATTTAGCTTTTTCTTGTTACTGCTTTGCATTCTAGGAACAATCATATAGGAATAAACTGATGGGTGAAAATGATATCTCATTGCATTGTGTGGACCAGATCTTTGGAGGTAATATGATGATGCATGGAGTTTTAATCATTCTAGCTTTGTTTCTATTTGTGCACATACTGATCTTTCAGAGGATATAGATTGCTTTAGTTACAATGTTGTCTGAGAAATGACTAATTGAATGGGAAAGTAGACTGGAGGGTTTGAGTTGGCCCAGTCTGCAGCCAAATCCATAGGAAGTAGAGAACCAGAATAGGCCATTCAGCTGCCTCAGTCTATTCTGTTATTCCACGAGATCACGGAATCTTAACTTCATCGTTCACCTGCCTGTTGTTATTCCCTCCTAATGTACAAAAGTCATTTTGCTGAAGGTACTGTATGGAGGCTGCAAGGAATAAATGCCTGCAGGGATTGAGGGTAGAGGGAAGGTTTTAATAGGAAAGTCTGTGGTAATTGACTTGGTGCCAGAAGTTCAATAATTTTGTTATAAAAAAAAAAAGGTCAGTAACTTGACAACAAGTCAAGAAATCTAGCTAGTTGCAATATTCATTAGATGTCAAACTTCACTGTAAAATAAATCTAAGTGGAGTATTGGAGAATAATTACTTCAGTGAAAAAATCCAGTAGCTATTTGAGATGCAAGTAACAAGAGACTGCATTACGTCAGTAACATATACCTCAGTCATGCAGTTTTTTTTTTGTAGTAATTTGTCTACATTTCCACAATCTGATCTTGTTTGGAATTTCATTTACAATAACACAGCCAATTTTACATGGCAGGATTGCTCAAAAAAGGCAAGCAAAATGAATGATCAGATCCCACACCCCAAAAAAGTTGTTTTGGTCAAGGAAGAGATGTTCTCTTTGGACTTCACAAGAACTTTGAATAGTGTCAGTGGGCCTTTGTGTCTGAACAGGCAAATGTAACCTCTGGTCCATGTCTCATTTGAAGGTTACCATCTCCTGCAATGTTGATCTTTTAGCTCTGTACTGGAGTGACAGTCTAGATAGTTTTTCAAGAGATCTTGCATTCAGAACTGTTCATTCCTTAAGGTGAGAGATACCAGTTATACCAAATTGACATTTGGTAGTAATAGTTACTTAATAATTTTAAGTTCCCTGCAGATAATTTCTCAGTTGGCTCCAGTTTTAGTGATGGAAAAGCGTTTTGCTCTTCATTGCTGTTTATTGACGTAGATCCTTTTTGTTTGGATCCTCTGTTTTATGTGCATGTCAGCCTTTGTTCTCAGCTCATACTATAAAATGACATGCTGATGAATTTAGAAATGACAAGATTTGTAGACATTCTGGAATGTTATAAAAAGGGTATCTTCAAAAATATTGTTCATTTTATTAAACTGACTTAAAAATGATCTACTTACACCACTTTTGACTTGCTGGTTAACAAATTGATATCAAAGTTCTGTATTGGAGGGGTAATGTTGAGATGGGAGCATGTAATATACTGTTATGTTTTACAACAATAACTGTAGTTGAAGATCATCTTTCACATTTTATTGCTTCATGTGTAAGAATTACATAACATTTTGTGGTTTTCTTTGTAGTGTATGATGATAAAAAGAAGCCGCTCCTACCAGGTGCTGTAAAGAACAAAATTCCTGAGAAGCTTCTGCTGTATTGTAAAGATTTCCGAGTCTTTCACTTTGGTTTAAGATACACTAAGGAAGAGGATGCCAGAAGGGTAAATGAGAACTATAACTATCTAATTTCCTGCCTCACGTGCAGTTTATTCAAATAGGTTCTTTACAAATTTGCCCTCCCCTCCTTTTCATCTACCTCTTTTATGTATATCCTTCAAGCTATGTTTAACATTGTATGTTTTATAGCACTGAATAACAGTACAGCACAGGAACAGGCCTTTCAACCCAACGTGTCTGCAGCTACCATGATACTATTCGAAACTGCCATCTGCCTGCACATAGTCCATATCTCTCTATTCCCTGTCTGTTCATGTCTGTCCAAACACCTCTCAAAGGTTGCTATCATATTTATTTCTGTCATCTCTTCTGGCAGTGCATTCTGGGCACCTATCGCCCCCTGTTTAAAAAGGAAAACTTGCCTCATAGTTCTCCTTTTTAACTCTCTCCGCCTCCACCTCCCCCCTCCTCCCCCAACCCATGCTCATTAAACTGTGTTCCCTAGTATTTGACATTCCCCGCCCCGCTCATTAAACTGTGTCCCCTAGTATTTGACACTTCCACCATGGAAGAAAAAGTCTCTGACTATCCACCCTATCCATGCCTCTCGTAACTTTTATATTTCTATCAGGTTGCCCCCCTCAGCCTCTAATGCCCTAATAAAATCCATCCAAGTTTGTCCAACCTCCCGCTGTAACTATAAAAAGGTCCCAACCCGAAACATCAACTTTACCGCTGCTCTGATGCTGCCTGGCCTACTGTGTTCCTCCAGCTCCACACTGTTATCATCAACATCCTGGTAAATCTGTTTTGCACCCTCTCAAGTGTCTACATCTGATACTGTGATGACCAGAACTGCACACCATACTCAACATGTGATCTAACTGCAACATGACTTGCCAACTTTTTTACTCCATACCCCAACCAATTAAAGCAAGCATGTGGTATGCCACCTTTGCCATGTTTACCATCTTGTCCATTGGTGTTGCCACTCTGAGGGAGCTTTGGATGTGCACCCCAAGATTCCACTGTTTCTTGATGTTCGTGGAGAGTTCTGCCATTTTACTGTTTATTGTCCTCTTGTACTTGAGCTCCTAAAGTGCATCATTTCGTACTTGACCAGATTAAACTCTATCTGCCATTTCTCTGCCCAATTTTCCAACTGATCCATGTCTTGCTGTGTCATTTGATAACCTTCCTCATTATCTACAACTCTTCCAAGTTTTGTCATCTGAAAATTTACGAATCAGACCACTTACATTTTAATCCACATAGGTTGTGCATTGTTCCATATGCCTGTGTCACAGTATGATGGATAGCTATATTTGAATATATTTTACTTATGACAGACATCTAACTGATTCCAGTATCTTGTACTGCAACAAGTCATGGTAATCTAGCACCTGTTGTGTTGTTGCTGTACCTTGGATCCTCATCCGAAATGCTCCCAATCTCAAATCTCATCTTCGTGTTTAAATCTCCTCCTTTGATCCCTCATCTCTGTCAAATTTTGTTTAACCTACCTGTGAGTGCCTCAAGACATTTGAAGGTGTTTTGCAACTGCAAGTTGCTGGTTTCATCCTTCCAGTTCTGGTATCATGGAAGTAAATCTTTTAACACCTTTCCCAGTGCCCCTGCCTGCAAATCACAGGTAGTTGTTGGGATGAATTTTGAGGCCAATGACCAGGTTGGTCTGCAGTACCTCATAGTATCCAGAGAACAGCAGTTACCTGGAATTAGTCTTCAGGGATTCAGCATTCCAGGATCACCTTTAGGACACCACTGGTCTAGCTGATTAGCACTATTTCCTGAGACTGCCCAAGGGAGCAGTGGGTGGTGGTGGTGGTGAGGGTGGTGCTGGGATGTTGGTGGGTGAAGAGAGAAACTGCTCTACAATGGTGGTCTGGCACGTGTGACCGTTTTATTTTTGCCAACATCACATATTTTACAAATACTGAAAAGGCATCTGAAGGTGGAAGCCCCCTCTTCCCCACACGATCCATGTTCCAGCCTTGAGCCCACCTCCTGTCCTTATTCAAGTAGTTCCTGGCCATTAATTGGTCAAACAGTGTCCAGTGACTGTTTCCAAAAAATGTACTGTTGCGATGCACACTTGACCCTACATCTGAGTTATTTTTCAATTTATTCTCTCAGGATGTGGGTAACATTTTGTTGTCCAACTCTAACTACTCCAGTGCTGAGTGGCTTGCTACACCATTTCTTAGGGCAGTTAAATGTTGATCACATGCTTTGGGTCACAAGTAGGCCAAACCAGGTGTGATTGGCAGGTTTCCTTCCCTGAAGGACATAAGTATGCTAGATTGGCCTTTATCACAATGGTCATTTGTGGGACTATCAAACTAGCTTTCAATACAAGACCTTATTAGTAGTTTAAATTCCACCAGCTGGCATATTGGGACTTTAACTGGTACCCCCATTAGATTAGCCTGGGGATCTGGATTGCTAGTCCAGTGACATTACCACTACACTGCCATCTAACCACTCTCCCTTCTTCCCTACCTTCCAAATCTGAAAGCTAATCCTTAGAGTCTTAATATGTAAAGAGTTTAGCCTACTGACCAAAATATGCCAGCTTGCACATTGGCCTGAGTTGAAGGTACTTAAAACTAGTACTCCAGCAGGATCTACTGGAGTATCAAAGAATTACAAGTAGTGAAGTTAAATGCTAAGGTGGTGGTCTATGGAGGAGCTTGGTATGTTTATATTTCAGTGATTTCCTTAAACAATGTTGGTTTAATCTATGGTGCAATATCAAATTGAGAACGAGTATTTCACCTTTAGGGGTGAAGAGGTACAATTGTCTTTGTCTTTGTGCAACTTTTAAGCACTCCCTCTGTTTTGGTGCAGTCTAGGAGAAAGGTGAGAATAGGTTGGTTGCTGATGGGAGCAATGGGTTATGGGGAGAAAGCAGGAGAATGGGGTTGAGAAACCTATTAGCCATGATTGAATGGTGGAGCAGATTCGATGGGCTAAATGGCCTAATTTCTGCTATGAAGGGATGGGGAATAATTAGTAAGGTTTTTTGTTACGTGTGTTAAAATATGAAGGAAAAACAAAGTTGCTGGAAAAGCTCAGCAGGTCTGGCAGCATCTGAAGGAAAAAACGGTTAACATTTCCGGTCTAGTGACCCTTCCTTGGAACATTTCTGAGGAAGGGTCACCACACCCGAAACTCTAACTCTGTTTGTTTATTCCTTCACAGATGCTGCCAGACCTGCTGAGCTTTTCCAGCAACTTTGTTTTTGTTCCTGATTCACAGCATCCACAGTTCTTTCGGTTTTTACTTAAAAGTATGAAGATATTTATTTATTGTGAAAAAGTTACTTTTTCTTTGGAAAATGTAGCCTGAATATATTCTTTGGCCAGTTCAGCTTCTGTGTCTATTTGTATATACATCTTGCCTATTTTGAGATGATAAAGGATGAACTAATCATTCTCTCTCTCGCTTGCAAACACCTCAATTCCACCACCCCCTGCCCCCACAACCATCAAATGCCCCAATAACAACAAAGTGTTGGTAAATTTTCAATACATATATTGATAACTGTTTTCCTCTCTCTTTCCTCCAGCTGATCCAGGGGATAGTTCACCATTGTTTGAATCCAACATCTTTAAAATGTTTGTTTGCTTTCCCCTATGTCGGTGCAGCAGGTGGTCTTAAAGGTAATGTTGTAGAAATCCTCTGCTTACCTTGAAAGCTTTTTGGTATGTTTTGGGCCATTGTTGCAGCCAGTTTCCATGTGTGTGTTATGTTTGAATGCAACTAACCTGGTTCTGTAAAAATTGCATCTCCAGTTACTAAGGTTGGAAACATTTAGAATGATGCCACTAAAGTCAAAGATCTGAAACAGAAAAACAAATTGCTGGAGAAATGCAGCAGACATGACGGCATCTGTGGAGAGAAATCAGTTAACATTAGTTCAGCCACCCTTAGAAGGTATTTTAATGTCTGAAATAAAGTGGTATTTTTAAGGAGAATCCAATAGAGATGACAATAATTGATTAACTATGTACCAATGAAGGATGAGGAAAGTTTTTTTTCTTTGGAATGCAGAGGATTAATAAAACATCAAATTGCTTTACCACAAATAGTTACTCATTCAAATTATTGCATTGTTTAAACAATGAATTTGACATAATTAGAAATCAAAGGATATAGTAAAGAGCTGGCACCAGCCCAATGGTTAAAATTCTACTTAAGTTTGTCTGTAATGATGTATTTAGACACTGGACTGAGAGAGACTGAATCAATGTTTTTTTTTTTTTAATGGGACACCAAACATTTATGAATCTTGAATGTTGCTGGAGAGTATTGAGTCATATTGCTGATGTTTCATTGCTGTGGGGTCAGCCTTTGGGGAGTTAGAAGGTGAGTTACTTGATTCAGAGCTCCCAGCTTCTGAGCTACTCTTGTAGGCACAATAGCGATATGGTGTGCTAAATAATGTGCTCTTAAGGCACTTTAAAATTTTGACCTGTATTTGGTGACTGAGTTAATTTCGTATCCTCAATACAGAATTTTTCTTTTTGACAATTCTCCAGACTCTTGAACTGTTTACTTAAAGGACATGCGAAGAAATATATAATGAGATGAGGCTACTGTAGACTCTTTGGCCAGTCCACGTGTCAGGGAAATATCAGATCACATCACTTGAAATGCTTTCAAGCCCCATTATCAGTTATTATTCTCAAATATTTACTGAATTTTTTAAAATACTTATTTTCAGGGGATGTCAATATCATTGGGCCAACATTCAATGCTAACCCTAACCGTAACCCTATCTCTAATTGCAATTGAGGTTGGTTGTGAGCTGCCTTCGTAAAGTGCTGTTGTCCTTGGAGTGTGGGGACACCCACAATGTCATGAGGGAGAGCTCCAGGATTTTGACCCACCAACACTGAAGGAGCAGTATTATATTTTCAAAGTCAAAAGTCCCATGACACCAGGTTATAGTCCAACAGGTTTATTTGCAATCACAAGCTTTTCGAGCGCAGCTTCTTTGTTGATGATGCCTTCTGACTTTGTCTACCTCAGTCCAACACCAGTACCTCCACTCTACATTTCCAAGTCAGGATAGTGTATGACTTGGAAGGGAGCTTGCAGGTAGTCACTTTCCCATGCATCTGTACTGGATCTGGGTCTGGCAGTTGTTAGTTTTTAATGTGAAGTCAAAGGAGCCTTGGAGAGTTGCTGCAGGGCATCTTATAGTTGGCACATACTACTGTTTTGGGGAAGACTTTATGTTGAGGGTTTTGAGTGGAGTATCAGTTAAGTGGGTTGCTTTGTCCTAAATGATTTTAAGCTCCTTGAATGTTGTTGGACAGTATTGAGTCATATTGCTGATGTGTTTCATTGCTGTGGGGTCAGCCTTTGGGGAGTCAGAAGTTCAGTTACTTGATGCAGAACTCCCAGCCTCTGAGCTACTCTTGTAGGCACAATAGCTATATGGCTAGTCCCATTCAGTTTATGGTTAATAGTAACCCTCAGGATGTTGCTCGTGGGGTATCCAGTGATGGTACCAATTTGAATGTGATGAGATGGTTATATTCTCTCTTGAAGATGGTCATTTCATGATATTTGTGGCAGAAGTGTTACTTTCCAGGGCGACATGGTGGCTCAGCGTCAGCACTGCTGCCTCACAGCACCAGGGACGTGCCTTCGAGTCCACCCTTGTGACAGACTGTGGAGTTTGCACATACTCTTCCTGTGTCTGCATGGATTTCCTCCTACATCGAAAAGATGTGTGGGTTAGGTGGATTGGCCATTCTAAATTACCCATAGTGTCCAAGGATGTGCTGGCTAGGTGGATTAGCCATGGGAAATCCAGGGTTACAGGGATAGGGAAGGGGAATGCGTCTGAGTGGGCTGCTCGTCAGACAGCTGTTATGGATGGGCCGAATGGCCTGATACCATGCTGTAGGGACTCTGATTTATTAGGCCATTCCTGAATATCGTCTGGATCACATGAGGATGAGGTGGTGTAGTGGTAGTGTCACTAGACTAGCAATCCATAACCCTGTCTAATGTTCTGGGGACATAGGTCAAATGTAACCATGGCAGATAGTGAAATTTGAATTAATAAAAATCTGGAATTAAAAGTTGATCTAATGTCAACCATCGTCATAAATATCCATCTGTTTCATAATGTCCTTTAGGGAAGAAAATCTGTGATCCTCACCTGGTCTAGCTAGCATGTGACAGGAGACCCATAACAATGTGGTTAACACCCTTAATCAGTGAAAAGGGCTGGCAAACCATTCATAGAGATAGGTAATAAATGCTGACCAGGCAATGATGCCTGTATCTCATAAGCAAGGTTTTTTTTTTTTTAAAAAGTCTGAGGAATCACAAATAGTTTTGAGCAGCTCTTACAGAGATGTCTTGGAGCTGAGATGATTGGCCTCCAGCAACCACAACTAGCTTCCACAGTCTCTCCTTACATCTATTTGAGCAGGCAGATGGGGCCTTTGAGCATGTCATCCAAAAGATAGCATTGCCCCTGACAATAGTTTCTCAGCGTAGTCCCTTGGAGAGTCTCTTGATTTTTAGTTGAGCTGAATTATGTGACATTTTTCAGCAGTTAGTTTCAATAGCTTCATGCAGTTTGATCCTGTGAAACCTGAGCACTAGTATGAACTAATTGAGCCCATTCATCTGTTTTATTTTGTGACGTAAAAGCTTTAAAACTGGCTAAACACTGTAAGTTTGCTGTTATTTATTTTTAAAATATTAGCTGTAAACAATCCAAATATTTAGAAAAATTAGATAAAAACTTTGCAGTACCTCACAAAACAATTTGTGTGTTGTGCTATCAATAATATTTTAAACAGTGAATGTGCTCATACTAAGTTCTGTTTGCTCATTAACTGACAGCAACTTGCTTTGGTGAGCTGACTTATTTTAACTTTCTCTACTCACAAAAATATTAACTGTAATTCCATTAAGGTAAATATTTCTTCCTTTGTATCTTGCTAAGTTTAATGATTTTGAAATCTTCTTGTATCAGTTTTCACTGCCAAAAATCCATTTGTAACTTATTTAATAAAACAAGTCCCTATTTCTCCAGTAGAACTCCACAGCATTTTCCATGCTAATGTCAGTTTCTACGAATAGTTGCATACAAAATCATCCTGGGGGTAAATGTGAGGTTATGCACTTTGGCAGGAAGACAAGAGGAGCTGAATACTGTTTAAATGGCAAAAGACTGCAAAAAACTTAAGCACGAAGGAATTTAGGAGTCTCATGCATAAATCATAAAAGGCTGACATCGAAGTTCAAGTAATAGGGAAGGCAAATGAAATGTTAGCCTTTATTTCAAAGGGAATGAAGTATAAAAATAAGGTGTCTTAGTAAAACTATACAAGGTACTAGTCAAACCACAGCTGGAATACCATAAACAGTTTTAGTTCCCTTTATCTAAGGAAAGATATACTGGCATTGGAGGCAGTCCATCAGAGAAAGATCACTATGTTGATCCTGAGTATGGAGGAACTGAATTATGAAACATGGTTTAGTAGGTTGTGCCTGTAATAATTGGAATGTAGAAAAATGAGAGGCGACCTTATTAAAACATACAAGATTCTTAGGGAACATGACAGGGTAGTTGCAGAGAAGTTGTTTCCCTTTTGTGTGTGTCTAGGACCAGAAGGCTCATTCTCTGAATAAGGGCGCACCCATTTAAGACAGATGAGGAGGAGCTACTTCTTTTGAGTGAATCTGCAGAATTCTTTCCTGCAGAGGTCCGTAGAGGCCAGGTCCTTCAGTATATTTAAGGCTGAGGTGGAAAACTTTTTAGTCAGTGAGGGAATCGAGGATTATGGGAAAATGACAGGAAAGTGGAGTTAAGGATTATCAGCTCAGTCATGGTCTCGTTGAATGCTGGAGCAGCTTTGATGGGCTGAATGATGTTTTCCTGCTCCTGTATCTTATGGTCTAACCAGTTGTGGACATGGAAGTATTTAGTTCTGGACAAGTGTCTTTTTGTCAATGAGAAGTTGTTTTCTTTTTCTCCCCCCAGTGGGTCCCATAAGAATAGAAGATGATCCTCCAACCATGATGTTTGAATCAAAAAATGATTGGCGAGGAGAGCTGGACCGCACTGGAGGTCTGCTAACTTACAGAATAATTTCCATTAATGAAAATTATAAAATCAGCACCAGGTGAGTAGCCAATAGTTAATCATTGTAGATCATTCTAGGTAATTATTGAGAATGCACAGCACCAAAAAAATCCTACTTTTATCCCCTGCTAAACCATTTCCTGGCACTTAAAGTACCATCCCGTGACTCCTACCTACTAAAAAAAAAAAATTTGCCTACATGGCAATAATTTGTTCATGTAGTCAAGGAATACAGAGGAGTTATAAAGCATCTTTTATGACCACAGAATATCGAAGTGCTGCAGTCAATAAAGTACTTCAGAGGTGCAGTGTATACTGTGGGGAGATCCAGCTGTTAATTTTGTATAACCAGCCCTAGAAACAGCAATGAGATCAATCGTTTGTTGATCTGCACTTAGATTCCTTCCTGTCAATGTCTGTCTGTTTTATCATTTCCCATAATTAAAACCTTTGTTTGGCCTTGTCTTTACTGTTTGATTTTTCTGTACATTCCCAATTTGAACTCTTGCCCTTATTCCGTTTGAAATCTGGACTACTTGTTTAGTTACGTGGCTCTCAAGACCATCTTGAGATTGTTTAGGTGACACTGTCCCTTCAATACAAATACCCTCTTCCCAGTACTGATGCTGTTGCCCATGACTAGAACCCATGTCTCCCACACATGTCCTTGAATCCAGCTGACTTTGTCCTATGATGAATTGCATGTGGCTCATGAAGTAATCTGAAGATTTTGGCCATTTTAAGGTCCTGTTTCTTAATTTAGTGCCTAGCTTTGCATACTAACTGTGCACAACCACCTCCCTCTTTGTCCTGCCTGTGCTGTTGGAACCTGCAAAGGTTCCAATGACTGGATCCCCCCCCACTGATAGCAAGTTGCTGTCCAGCCCAAGCAGATATTGTAAGCCTTGGTGCCAGGCAGGTAACCCAGACCAAATAAGACTTGTAGGACCATGGAAAAAGTACAGCCTAGCAAGTGGCCATTTAACCCATAGTGTCTGTGCTGGCTGGATAAACTAACCATCCATTCTCGCCCCACATACCAGCATCTGGACTGCTGCCTTGCAGGTTAGAGGACATTACATGCTGATCCAGGTTCTTGTAAATTAGTTGAGGGTTTCTGCTTCAACCACCTTACTGGGCAGCAGATGCTAGACACTTGCCATCATCTAGGTGAAAAAAGATATTCCTCATGTACCCTTAAATCTTTCCATCAGTCACTTTAAATATTTCCAAGTCAGGATAGTGACTGGCTTGGAGGAGAGCCTGCTGCTGCCATTGCCCTTCTGGATGGAAATGGTCATGGACTTGAAAGGTTCTGTTTAAGGAACTTGGTTAAATTTCTGCAGTGCATCTGGCAGATAGTACACACTGCTGCGACTGAGCATGGATGATTGTGGATGTAGTGCCAATCATGCAGGCTGCTTTGTCCTTTTATGGTGTCAAGCTTCTTGAGTGTTGTTGGTGTTGCACTCATCCAGGCAAGTTGGGAGTATTCCATCATATCTTAACTTGTGCCTTGTAGATGGTGGACAGGCCTTTGGGAGTCAGGAGGTGAGTTACTCACTACAGTATTCCTAGCCTCCAACCTGCTTTTGCAGCTACTGTATTTATATGGTGAGTCCAGCTGAGTTTCTGGTCAATGGTAACCCCAGAATGTTGTTGATGGGGGATTCAGTGATGGTAACACCCTTGAACATCAAGGAACAGTGGTTAAATTGTCTCATTTGGAGATGGTCATTGTTTGGCATTTGTGTGATGATAATGTTACTTGCCATTGTCAGTCCAAGCCTGGATATTGTCCAGATCTTGTTGCATTTGAACATGGACTGCTTCAGTATCTGAAGAGTCGTGAATGATGATAAACATTATGCAATCATTGACGATCATTCCCACTTCTGACCTACAAAGCAGGAGTAGGCCTTGAGCCTGCTCTACCATTTTAATAAGATAATGGATGATCTGATTGTAACCCTACATCCACTTTGCCATATACTCCTAATAACCTTTCAACATCTTGCTTAACAAGAATTTAAACATGCAAGGACTGTGATTCCACGCACAGATCTAGAATCTCCCACAAATAGAAACATACCCAGTCAAGACAGCTCAGGATCTTGTTTCAATCAAGTCACTTCTTGCTCATAAATTCCAGAGGATACAAGTCCAGCCTTTCCTCACAATACAGCCTGCCCATTCCTAGTAACAGTTTTTAGTTAACCTTTTCTGAACTATCTCCAATGTATTTACATCTTTCCTTAAATAAGATAATGATCACTGCCCAGCATGAGATGTGGTCTCACTAGTGCTATATATAATTGAAGAATCCCTCCCTGCTTTTGTGTTCAATTTTCCTCATGATAGATAACATTCTGTGTTAGCATTTCTAATTATTTGCTGTACCTGCATTCTAAGTTTTGCAATCCGTTTGTGAGGATACGCAGGTCCCTGCATCCAAGTTCTGCAATCTCTCTCAATTTAGGTAATGTTGCTTTTTTATTCTTGCAAAATGGGCAACTTTACACTATTCCCATATTACATGCTATTTGCCATATCTTTGCCCACTTGTTTAACCTATCAATTTATTTTTGTAACCTCCTTGTGTCTTCTTTACAACTTCTTATTTTTGTCATCAGTAAAGTTGTCAACCATACCTTCTATCTTCTCATTTAAGTCATTGATATAAAATGTAAACAGTTGAGATCCCAGCACCAATCCTTCTGGCACACTACTCATTACTCTCAGTCCTACATCTTGCCAATCTGAAAAAGAACCATTTATACCTACTCTCTGCTTCCTGTTAGCCAGCCAATCTTCTCCATACCAGTATGTTATCTCCTCCCCAAATTAACTTTATTTTCTGCAATAACTTTTGATGTGGTCCCTATCAAATGCCTTGTGGAGATTTAAGTGAAGTCTGTTCGGAACCAAGCACGGTCAGCCCACAGCTTAGTCAAATTACGGTCAGTTCCATCAACACGAATTGGCTGTAACGTGTTTGACGAATAGAGGATTGCTGTTTCTAAATCATGAACTTGTGTTGGCTATACCGCGATTCCATTAGAGTGCATATGTGTCAACATCACAATCGTTTCACGGGCTTTGTCGTGAATACGTACGATGTTGGTGCCGTGTCTCCGTGCCAGCATCACGTGATGTTTCTGGGGCTTTGTCGTGAAGTGCTTTCTGAGAGGTGCAGTACGACCTCCTCCATCAAGTCATCTTGAAATTTTTTAAGGTAAAGTGTTAAATTACTTTCATTTCATTATTAGATTTGAATTAAACATTTATTCAAATTGTGCTATCCTTTGTGTTAGGCTCTTGACTGATTTTGAGTGAATTTTTTTTTTCTGGTGGTCTGCCCCCAGCGCCACTTCTCCTATGGGACCTGTTATTTCTATTGCACAATTTTCTATAATGCGATATTGCACAGGAATGCAACTGTCGCATTATAGCAGAACCAATTGTACTCCTACCGCTACCCTGATGATTGTGGTTTGCCTGAGTTCGTTCCTCCCTTCCATTTCCTGAATTATTGCTGCTTCTCATACGTTACTTGCATACTCTATCAGGCTGGTTTCTAATCAAAATGTCCTTCAGACGCTTTGCCACAGAGGAAGAATACAATGTTTAAACAGATAGCAGAAGTTTGTTATTAATGAGGCCAGTACCTGAGAATTGGTTCCAGCAAGTCTGGAAAAGACCTTTTATTGTTTAGGTGGATGGCACATGTTGAATGGTAACTGAGGCTTTGTGGAGGAGTCTGTCAGAGTAGTCTGAGTTTGAATTGGGCTTCTGTGTAAAAGGAAACTGGCTGCTAAAGCTAGCATGAAGGCTTGAAAGATCCCTGCCTCATTTCCTACGAGCAGCTCTTGGAAGCTCAGAATAGGCATCTTCAGAAAATCAACCAAGAAACTATTATTTATGTCTGTTGAAAATGGCGAGTAATCTGGCCAGTTTTGTTATTTTCTTTTATTTGTCCCTTAACTAGGTTTGTGTTTTGTGTGAATGGGGCTGAACAAGGTTTAGGGTTATAGCTTAGACCAGTTTGATTACTTTGTTTAATTTTGCTTTGCTAAAGTTATTATTTTCAATAAATTGCTAAGTATTTTGCTGTAAGATACAAGCAAATGTCTGGAGTTGATTATTTTAATCAATTTATTTTAATTGATTTAAGAACTGTGGATACTGGAAATCTGAAACAGAATTGTAAATTACTGGAGACACTCAGCAGGTCTGACAGCATCAGTTGAGAGAAAGCGGAGTTAATGTTTCGGGTCCAGTGATCCTTCAGAACTGATGGTAGCTAGGAAAAGATTGGTGTATATATGGTGAAGATAGGGAGGGGGTGAGGAGTAAATGATAGGTGAAGTTGGAGCCCAGAGAGAGAAGGAGCAGTTGGGCAGACAAAGGAATGGATAATGGTCAGCCTGGGAGAATCAATATCTGCTAATGAGGACCATTAGCAGATAATCGATTTACGTGTAGTAACAGTCCATGTGATGACGGGGCTTGGTGTGTGGGGGTTGGGGGAAGGACACGGAGCAAGGTGTTTAGGCCCTAAAATTACTGAATTTGATTTTGAGTCCTGGAGGTTGCAGAAATTCTCAAGTAGAAAATGAAATGCTGTTCTTCCAGCTTGCGCTGAGCTTTGCTAGAGCACTGCAGCAAGCCTGAGACACATGTTGGCAAGGGAACAGGGTGGTGTGTTGAAGTGGCAGGCAACTGGAAGATCAGGGTCATTTTTGCAGGCAGAATGTAGGTGTTCTGCATTGCGGTTGCCCAGTCTGTGTTTTGTCATAGTCATCGAGCTGCACACATGGAAATGGACCCTTCAGTCCAACTCATACATGTTGACCAGATATCCTAAATTTAATCTAGTCCCATTTGGCCCATATCCCTCTAAACCCTTCATATTCGTACACTCAGTTGCCTCCACAACTTCCTCTGGCAGCTCATTCCATACATACATCACGTTTTTGTGTGGAGAAAGTTGCCCCTTAGGTCCCTTTTTTAAATCTTTCCTCTCTCAACTTAAACCTCTGCCCTCTAGTTCTTGACTCCCCTACCCCGGGGGGAAGACTTGGCTATTCACCCTATCCAGCCCCTCATGATTTTGTAAACTTCTATAAGGTCACTCCTCAGCTTCTGACACTTTAGGGAAAATATCCTCATCTTATTCAGCCTCTCCATATTGCTCAAATCCTCAAAAGCTGGCAACATCCATGTAAATCTTTTCTGAACTCTTTCAAGTTTCACAATATCCTTTGTATGGCAAGGAGCCCAGAACTGAACACAGTATTCCAATAGTGGCCTCACCAATGTCCTGTATAGCCACATGACCTCTCAACTCCTATACTCAATGCACTGACAAACAAAGGTTTCCTTTAGAGAGAAAACCACACTGTGAGCAGTGAATACAGTAAGTTAGATAGTGAAGTGCAGGTAAATTCCTGCCTCTCTTGGAAGGTGTGTCTGGGGCCTTGGATAATGAGGAGGTTGGAAGAAATGGATAACTGTTACATCCTCTGCAATCGTAAGGGAAGGTGGCATGAGGTGTGAGGTGGTGTTGCAGACTGGAGGAAGAGTGGACCAGGGTGTCCTGGAGGGAACTGTCCCTGTGGAAGGCTGACAAAGGAGGGGTGGGAAGGGGTATGTGTCTGGAGGTGGTATCCTGCTGGAGGGTGACAGAAATGGCAACTTGTGATTCTTTGGATGTGGATACTGGTGGGATGACAAGGACTGGGGGCCTTATCAGTGTTTGTAGGCGGGAAGAGAAGGGAAAAGCTCTTCTGTTAGTCAACAAAAGGACAAAGTATTATAGGAATGGATAGAGAATCGGCTATTGGGCTGGAAACAATGGGTCTTTTTTTCAGGTTGAGTACCTGTGACCAATGGGTTCAACACAGATCAGTGCTGGGATCGCAACTGTTTACAATATAGATAATGACTTGGAGAAAGGAAACAAATATACTGGTAGCCAGGTTTGCAGATGAAGGGCCTTTGAGGGTATTTGTGCACAATACTCAAAACCAACACACAGGTGCAGGAGGTAATCAGGACGGCAAATGGAATGTTGACTGTTTGTTTCAAGGAACTTGGAGGATAAAAATGGGGAACTCTTCAGCTGTACAAGCTGCTGGTGAGACCATATCTGGAGTGCTGTGAGCATCTTTTTGGTCCCCTTACTTAACAACAAAGTATTATTTCATTGGAGGCATTTCATTGAAGGTTCACAAGGATGATACCAGTATGGAGGGATTGTCTTACGAGCAAAGGATAAACAGGTTGGGCTTCTATTCATCAGAATTTAGAAGAATGAGAGGTGATCTCTTTAAAACCTTTTGGATTATAGAGTAATCGTCATAAAGTCATACAGCATGGAAGAAACAGACGCTTCGATCCAAATCGCCCACACAGACCAGACATCCCAATCTGGGATCTCTTCTCATTTGCTGGCATTTGACCTCTATCCATCTAAACCCTTAGTATTCATATACCCATCCAGATGCCTTTGTAAATCTAGTAATTGTATCCATCTAAGGGACTTGACAGGGTAAGTGGGAGGGGGTGGTGACGGCAATGGCCTAGTGGTATTATTGCTGGACTGTTAATCCAGAGACCTAGGAAATGTTCTGGGGAGACTGGTTCAAATCCCATTGCGGCAGATAGTGGAATTTGATTTAAATAAAAAAAACACACAAATCTGAATTAAGAACCTAATGATGACAATGAATCAGTTGTTGATTGTCAGGGAAAAACTCATTGGTTCACTAATGTCCTTTTTAAAGAAGGAAACTGGTATCCTAACCTGGTCTGGCCTACGTGTGACTCCAGACCACAGCAATGTGATGGATACTTAACTGTACAATTAGTGACGGGCAATAAATGCTGGACTAGCCAGCAATGTCCTCATCCTGTGAATGAATAAAAAAAGTTTCCCTTTGTGGGAGATTCTAGGACCAAAGAGTGTAGTCTCAGAATAAAGGGGCACCAATTTAAGACTGAGATGAGGAGCAGTTTCTTGTGGGTTGAGATTATTTGGAATTCCTTTCCACAGAGAGCTGTGGAGACAGAATCCTTGGTCTATTTAAGGTTGAAATAGATTGATTCATGATCAGTAGGAAATCACTGGTTATGGGGAAAGGTCAGCAAAGTGGATGTGAGTGTGTTAGACTGAATGGCAGAGCCGGCTCAAGGGGTTGAATGGCCTACACCTTTTCCTGGTTCTAATGGTCTTATGGGAGAAGTTGGGAGAAATTTTGTGTTGAGATTTCTTGGGGTTTGACCACCCTATCAGTGATGGAAGCTGAATTCATAGTGGCTTTTAAAATTAAAGCGAAATATATTTGAAAAGGATCAGGGACTAGGTGAAAAGTGCAATTCTTTGTGTATATTTGGAGGAAATGTTATATCAAAATGTTAAAAGGAAAGGAAGATATTTTAACTTCATGCACCTACCTGAGTGAATCACTTAATTGCAACATTTTGTCAATTTATCAGTAAATTCTGTGTTTTCAAAATAAGTTGGTTTGTTTTGCTTCCAGACTTCCACAGTTCTTTGCTGTTCCTTTATCTGTTGCTGATGATGACATAAAGAAATACAAGGGAAAAGGAATTCCTGTAAGTTTACTTATTGTTGTTTCTTCTAATTGCCCAACCTTAAGGTAGGTTTAAGTGCTGTTAGTACTTTCCTATGTATGATGTATGTTTTGTAAATCTCTCAACAGTTGTTCACTGTTTTTCTCAAAGGCTTTGAGGAAATTGAGTAGGTCGAACTTTTTTTTATTATTGCATGTACACCGAATGGGTAGAAGTTGGAGCACTTAGAATGTGATAACTTAACACAGAATTAACAACATTGCCACAACATATCTGTTAACTTGTAATGACTTCAAGAATCTGTTGAGAAAAGACTATGTATGACTACTGGGGGAAAAAGTTTAACTTTAGGAAGGCTGATGATGACTCCCATTGACTCCCTGTGGCCTCACCCCCTCCCTAATTCTAAGTTCATCCAATCCTGTGACCCTCTGATTTCTATTCTCATCCAATTTTGCCCCTCTGCCTCCTCCAAAGGACAACCGAGAGCCACAGCTGCAGCCCTGATGGGTGTGGGATTAGTCTCCACACCTGTTCTCCCCTCCCCAACCACCTTTCCTGGAGTGGGAGACTGCTTTGTTGTACTAGTTTTATTTTGGCCCATTATTCAAAGCCTGAATACCAACTGGAAATCCTAGTATGTGCAGGAAAGATAATTTGGCAGACCGGGGAGTAGCTCTGCAAGAGATCTGTTTGACCAGCACAGAGCTATCATTGCAAAGTGAAGGAGAGCTGGGGGCTTCTGAGGCTATGGAGCCCATCCAGTGATCAGATGAACCATTGTAGTTTGTCACAATTTCCCTTCAAAAATGTTTTGGAGTTCTGGATCTAAACTGGCACGATGCATTAGATTGTGGGCCTGTGTGTCTCTGTTCCTGTATTCACTGCTGATTGAAGATTCCACTCCATACCTGTAACTTGCTGCTTACAATCTATTCCACCCTGGGCTCTCCACCAAACTCTTGTGCATTGCGCCCTCCCTTTTTGGCCATTGTTGTTTGCAGTATCTTTAACTACCAAATCCTACACTCTAATCTTCACTCCTTAAGCTGTCGTCCTTCAAAAGAAAACAAATTGTTTAAAATTCTCAGCATATCAGACAGTATCTGTGGTGAAAGAAAGTTAACATTTCAGTCCAGTGACCTTTTTTCAAATTCCATAATTTATTGCCTTTTTGCATGATGTCTGATTTCCTTTTTATGTTTTTGAAATGGCAAGGGTCCTGTTTCTGAAATAAAGATCACATGTAACTGCAGAAATCCCCAATGAAGTGGACTTCAGACAGATATAATTTAGTTATGTGTTGTAAGTCAACGGTCCCCATCCTTGTTTTAAATTTGTACATTTTCTCTACCCACCCACCACTACCACCAAATAAAAGCCTAATACATTTTTATGATGTTTCTAACTTGCCCACATGCAGCTTTGGTGCTGGTCTCATCCCAGTGGTTGTGCATTGCTGAAGATGGCAGCTGTCCCTGAAGCAGCTGATGACAGTGCTTCACAAATGGACAAAGGTTGGATTGAAAGGTTAGTAGCTAATCTGTTAATGATATACATTTGGAAGGGTGTGTTTTGCTGTATAATGTGTAAATTAAATTTTTGCGTTCTTCCTGCCATTGTACTTCAAAGTGTGGTCAATTTTATATGATGGTAAATGCCACACTGTTCAAAAATGTCTAAGTGTAAGTAATTTAGTTGCATTCGTTATGCACTGTCATGACTGGAGAGTATAAAGCAGGGTCAACATGGATGTACACGGCTGGCAGTTCATTATTGCCTTGGGTGCATAGGGTACTTCTGCATGTGTGACACCTCTGGCCTTTCTCTGGGCATGTTTGATATTGAGAGTTTAGTGTCGATACCCCTCAATGTACCTATTCAAATTTCACTGCTTGCTTCCACGTGGACCTGTTGGGCTGCAGTGTTGTTCTAAGAGGTAGTTTATAATGCAGAAATTTGTATGGCTCTTGTTTAGACTGCCCTTGTGTCATTTATATTGAATATTTTTGCTGCTGTTTATCCTGAGTGTTCTCTGTAGAAGATCTACTTGTGGTTTCTGTGATCAACCATACAGGTGACATTGTATTAGAGATAGTAGAACTGCAGATGCTGGAGAATCTGAGATAACAACAAGGTGTAGAGCTGGATGAACACAGCAGGCCAAGCAGCATCAGAGGAGCAGGAAAGCTGACGTTTCGGGCCTAGACCCTTATTC